TTCTTGTGACCAGCCCCCACCCAAGAGCCATCCAGGAACATACCCAGCATCACCTCATTAAAACAAAAGATACTCCTGTCACCCAGGAGATTACAAGGGTTTGAGGAACCCTATTCTGGGAACCAGGGGGCAGAGCCAATATGTATTTTCCATTATCCCACAAGACCTAAGCTCTAGGACCCTACCCACCTCAGCTACAATCCATGCCAGTAAAATGGATGCTCAGTATCCACTTAACCTCCCTGAAGTTAGGACTAGTCTCCAAGAGAAATGCAGAAAACCCAAATCCCTCCCAGACTGTGGCTTCTCCCACATTTTCCCCTTCCAAATCTCCCACAGTCATCATGTACAAAAGAACTAGAAGGGAGTCTGCGAAATGTAGTCTTTTGCTTTATAGCCTTGAGGAGGTAATAAGGCAGGCTTGGGGGTTGGGGAAGAAATAAATGTGAGGGTGCCCATCAGCTATATCCATCATAGAGTTGTTTGAATTCTCTTGCCCACCTCTCAGGACAGTGAGGAGTACAGGCATACCTCATTTGATTGTGCTTCACTTTACTGCCCTTCACAGACACAGTGTTGTGTTTGTTTTTGTTTTGTTTTGTTTTTACAAATTAAAGGTCTGTGGCAACCCTGAGTTAAATGAGTCTATAATCACCATTCTTCCAACAGCATGTGCTCACTTTTTGTCTCTGTATCACATTTTAGTAATTCTCACAATATTTCCAACTTTCTCATTATTGCTGTATTCGTTACGGTGATGTGTGATTACAACTTATTGAAAGCTCAGATGATGGGTTAGCATTTTTTAGCAATAAAGTATTTTTTAATTAAGGTATGTACATTGGGGTTTTTTTTGACATGATGCTATTGCATACTTAATAGATCACAGTATAGTGGGATGCCTGGGTGGCTCAGTCGGTTAAGCGTCTGCCTTCAGCTCAGGTCATGATCCCAGGGTCCTGGGATCGAGTCCCGCATTAGGCTCCCTGCTCTGCGGGGAGCCTGCTTCTCCCTCTGCCTCTTGCCTCTCTCTCTCTCATGAATGAATAAATAAAATCTTAAAAAAAAATAGACCACAGTATAGTATAAACATAACATTTATATGCACTGGAAAACAAAAAAATTCACTTGACTAGCTTTATTGCAATATTCACTTATTGCAGTGGCCTTTAACCAAACGAACCTGCAGTATCTCTGAGGTATTCCTGTCGTGGAAAAGCAGGCAAAAACAGTAAAAGCAATAGGTCTGCATGTTCCAAAAACAAAGTGGTCCTAACATGCCTTTATGATCCAATGTATTTTGGGTTTCTGAAGTTCACTGGTAAGCATGGGCTGTATCTGCAACACTATTCAGGGGAGGAAGATCAACTAAAAGGTTTTTGGGGTTTTTTTTTTTAAGACTTTATTTAATTATTTATTTCACAGAAAGAGAGAGAAAGAACGAGAGAGAGCACAAGCAGGGAAGCAGTGGACAGAGGGAGAGGGAGAAGCAGGCTCTCCGATAAGCAGGGAGCCCGACACAGGGCTCAATCCCAGGACCCCAGGATCATGACCTGAGCCAAAGGCAGACACTTAACCAACTGAGCCACCCCGGTGCCCCCAACCAAAAGTTTTTTAATCACTGGGAAGAATACCGCAGAACAAAATACTTGTTTCATCAGTTTTCAAAAAGTGGCAATTCATTACATATTTGAGAGAAAAAAAGACAGTCAAGTTCCTCCCTAATAAACTTAAAACTGTACTAGAAGAAAAATATTAAGCCAACAACAATAAATTCGAGTAGTAAAGCCCCCACCTAAGCAAAATACTAAAGGCAAAAATCATTTAGAAAAAGGCTGAAGATCTGACTACAAAGAATTTTTAAACACCACTGAAATACACACACACACACACACACACACTCACCTCAAAATCAAAAGACAAACAAGAAAACATATTCCCAATACATGTGGCAAATATTTAATATCCAATGCAAGAAAGAACAAAGCAAAAGAGTTAAAAAATGGGCAAGGAGCATAAATACACAAGGAACAAAAAGAAGACAAATATCCAAGTGTCCATCAATACCAGAAAACAAACATTAAATAACAAAAGAACATTTTTTTTATTTATTGTTTTTAATTAACATATAACGTATTATTTGTTTCAGGGGTACAGGTCTTTGATTCATCAGTCTTACACAATTCACAGGGCTCACCATAACTTCTCAAATCAGAAAATATCAGTATTGGTGAGAATGTGGAGAAATGAGCAAAAATGTCACAAACTCTTTGGCCTAGAAATGCTGCCTTGGAAGAATTTATGAATGTAATAAATATTTGGTTACAAGGACATTTATTAGTATTATTTATAACCACAAAAAAAGTAAGAACCTAAATACCCACATATTTGGCTGGTTAAACTACTGCACATCCATGCATCAAAAGACCTATACCCACTAAATATGATATTGAAGAAGAATAAATGACTAAAAAGACTAAAAGATAATAGAAGAAAAAACTTTTCCACAAAGTAGGCATATGAAACCCCATTTTTGCTCCTCTCCCTAGTTCCACACCCTGCCTCAGAGAAGAAAAAAAAGGAATTATATGTACCACACAGATCAAGGACTGGCAGGATAAATGAGAACATATTAACAGTAAAAGGATTAAGGCAATTAAATTTTTTATGCAAAGAATATTGCTCTAAATGTTTTACAGAGAACATGTACTACTTCTGTAATAAGAAAAAAAAAACGAGGATTTTTAACCAACTCTCAAAAAATTATTTTGCAAAATATAAATTCTAGTAAATAGAAATAAGAGTTTCAAGCTGTAATATTCAATGGTTGTTACTTTGCATATACCTGTTTTCTATTTTTTTCTTTCCTTCCACTACCAACTTATTGTTCCCGTCACTAAGTTTCCACACTGTCTACTTCCTTCTTAACTAATGCAGCCAAAGGTGCGGCGTCTTACGTCTTCTCGGTTTTACTAAAATAACACGCACCCAGATGTATTATCTGCGGTCTATAACAATGAGCACACGTCCTCTAGCCTTCTCCCACAAATGTTCTCAAAGCATCACACCTAAAAACACAGGCAAGGAATAGGCCACAAAAATATGTAAGATATCCACATAAACACCAGTCCATAATTTCTTTTTAGGTTGGATACACACTCCTTACAGACACAGACGCACTCATTCCCACAGCCTCAAAGACACAGGAGAGATTTTTCTTTCCTGTCTGTGTCCTACCCATTCGTCTTCATTCCTCTTCTAAGCGGATACAGAACTACATCTTTTGTTTCATTCTGAGAATCAACAAAAACTCACTTCCTTGGCATTTACTACATAACAGGAGTTCAATAAATATTAGTTTATACTTTTGGAAGCACTCACAGTCCCCACCGTAGAAACACTGGTAGGGCAAGGCCCGATTTTGTTTTGCGCATCACCGTACCTAACAACTCATAGTATGTGGCTCTCGGTAGCACTCAATAAATAATGAATTAAGGACTACACCATTGATGATTATTGATCCAAGTTTCTATAATACAGTTAAAGCATGCACTGCATTCCCCACTTTATGATTCAAAAAATCGAGGGCTGGAGAGGTTAGGTGGTGAGTCAAGCGTAGCCAGGCTAGGAAATAAGAAAATAGGCCTGAGTTTTTCCATCCACAGGAGATGATGTCACCCTCGCTGTCCGTAAAGCTTCGAGCTTCAGAGATTCCAGGGAAGGACTGGTATAAATAAAATACATTTATGTGTGGTAAGGACTAATAAACTTTGCTTAGCTGCCTATTTTTTTTTTAAAGATTATATTCATTTACTTGCGGGGGGGGTTGCGGGGGGGGGAGAGCGCGCACATAAGCAGGGGGAGCGGCAGGCACAGGGAGAAGCAGTCTCCCGGCTGAACAGGGAGTCCTATGAGGGACTCCGTGATCATGACCTGAGCCGAAGGCAGCCAGCCGCTTAAGCAACTGAGCCACCCAGGCGTCCCCAGCTGCGTATTTTATTTTTTTATTTTTTTAAACTAAATTTAAGATTTTATTTATTTATTTGAGAGAGAGTGAATGAGAGACAGCACGAGAGGGAAGAGGGTCAGAGGGAGAAGCAGACTCCCAGCCGAGCAGGGAGCCCAATGCGGGACGCGATCACGGGACTCCAGGATCATGACCCGAGCCCAAGGCAATCGCTTAATCAACTGAGCCACCCAGGCGCCCCCCTAGCTACGTATTTTAAAATAGAGCATTGCCCGGGTGGCTCAGCCATTGGGCTTCTGCCTTCGGCTCAGGTCATGATCCCAGGGTCCTGGAATCGAGCCCCGCATTGGGCTCCCTGCTCCGCGGGAGGCCTGCTTCTCCCTCTCCCCCTGCTTGTGTTCCCTCTCTCGTTGTGTCTCTGTCAAATAAATAAATAAAATCGTTTTTAAAAACATAAAAAATAAAATAGAGCATTGCGGGAGAATTAACCAATGGGAAATTATCTGCCGCTGCACGGTAAACGAAGACAGCTGAAGCAAGTAGACGAGTTCTGATAGTTTTACAGGAGCAACTCATGAAATCCCCAGGCTGGGCCTCCAAACCGACCGGAACGGAAACTTTAAACACACATTCCTGGAGCGCCAGCACGTCCTCTGCATCTTCAGAAAGAAAGGTCTTACCTTCAGCACAGCGGCCTCACCGAGTTCCTCCGCCCTGGGGCCAGTGTGCCGGGCCGCGGACGCGCCCCGCTTCCCCTCCCGGTGTCTCATTCATTCCGCACCCGCCAACCCCGCGCTGCAGGCAGGGGCAACGGCCGACTGGCCCCAGGCCCGGGTCCTGTGCCCGGCCCCAGCGCAGGGGCGGGAAGGAAAGACCGTGAAGCCCGCAAATAAAAACAAAGAAACAAAAAACCCACAGGACGGCCCACCCGCGGCGCCGAAGGCCCGTTCCTGCCGCGGGGTCCCCCCGTCCGCCAAAGGCGAGTGCCAACGAGTTGGCGGGCCCGGGAGGAAGCTGGGCCGGGGCCACTGACCTGTCAGGCCCCACTGCCTTAGGTCCTGCTCCTGCACCCGTGCCCGCGCCGCCTCGCCTCGGCTCCGGGTCTGAAGGGCACGTAGGAAGCCGGGCGCGTGGCCCCCACACGCCGCGGGACCCGCGCTCTCCATGCGGCCCAGAGACGCTCCGCCCCGCGGCGCCCGCGCACTTCCTTCCCGACGCGCCCCGGCCGGCCCCAGCGCGCAGCCGCCGCCAGAGGACGCGTCCTGCGCCGACTTCCGGGCGCAAAGCGGTGCTCGGAGTTAGCTTTCAGGCTCTCATTTTCACTCTTTCCGGTTGTGCTCGGCCTGCTCTCGGCTCGTCCAGAGGTCAGACTATGCTCACCATTCATTTATTAGCAATACTGACTATGCGCCAGGTACATACATACTCTGCTGGGCTCTGGGGTTATGGAATTCAGTAAGACATGGTCCCTGTCCTCCAGCGATTCCCAGCAAGAATGGAAAGCATGGTGTGCTTGGTTCCGTTTGCACCAGTGATAAATTGGTTTGCGCCCTGAAATCCTCTTACTTAACCCTGTTGGCCGTAGACCAAAGTTAGGAACTTCTGAATGGTAGGAAATTCAAATCATGAAAATTGTCATTACCACAATGGATTTCTCAAGTGAATTATGGGGAACAAATTGAAGCAATGTGTTAGATTAGGGGTCACCATGTCACCATCAGCTTTAAGTGGATTTATGATGTAGTAATTTATAATTAGGAGTGTACCACAGACATAAAATCATAATAACCAAATAACTGCAGTTAACGATGCAGTTAGAGGTGCTGCCCTGAGGGTTTTACAAGTATTTATTTTCTCATTTAACCCTCCCAGTAACCCTATAAATAGGTACTAGAATTGTCCCCACATTAGATGACGAAAACTAGAACAGGAACCATATTACTCTCTGGGTAATGTCATCAGAATACTAGTCCCATTAGGTTAACCTTGAAGCTTCTACCTTCAGTAAACTCAGATTAAAGTTGCACGCCCCTCCGCCCAGTCTCATCTACCCTTAAAATAAAAGGGAGAAATTAGTTCTGAGCCACAAAAGAGATGTCGTCGGGTTGATTTATTCATAAAAACCCAAAGCACTGTTTTGAGCACCTACCACGTGTCAAGCACTCTTGGCACTGAAGATAGAGGCCACTAGACTCATTTGCAAAACATGTAAGTAAAATATACTTATATTAGACTTCTATTTTAAATTAAGTGTACATTTTAAAAGGAAAAGACAGGCAGTAAGCAAATAAAAATCGGGTAGTTATCAATGTTAAGGTGAAAGAGAAACAGTCACATAATGGGGCTAACTGATTTCCTACTTGATGTTTTTTCAAAACCATAAATGAGATTTGTATCCTTTCCTAGCTTCTCTGAGGGGCTTCTGCCCCTTGTGGTTGCTCATGAGTGATTTTTGCATCCTGATCTCCGTGTTTGACTTTTTCCCTCCCCTCCAGGTTCTGTAGGTAGACTTATTCACTAAAGCAGCAATATCAACCACCTGCCACTCAAACAAAAGAGCCTTTATTATTTTTAACTTAAAGTACATTTGTTTTAGCATAATAGCAGCAACAGGGTCCTAGCTTTAAGCTAGAATTTCTCTTGGTAGATTGAGTCTGACATCGAAAATACAGCTAGGAAAGGTAGCTGAGAAACTCCAAAGTCAGCTGCTAGTAAGTAATACCTATAAAAGTTTTACTCTAGATGGTGTGTGAAAGGAGTCTATGGAAGGGGGTAGAGTGGAAGTAGAGTGACCAGTTAGGGGACCATTGCAAGAGTCTGGGCAAGAGAGAATAGTTGTTGGGCCAGCATGATGGCAGTGGAATGGTGAGTACTGGTCAGATACTAGATATACTGAAAAGGTAGAGTCTATAAGGTACACGGATTGAGCATCTGAGAAAAGTCCAGGAATAAAGGATGATTTCAGGGATTTGGCCTGAGCAAATGGTAGAGTGGAGTTTCCACTTATGGAGGGGTAAGACAGAATGAGGAGGTTTGAGGAACATCCAGAATTCACTTTGAATGTCAACTATACTTCAGTCTATAAAAGGTGATCCAGGGATTTTTTCTGTAGTTTAAGTGAAATAAGAAGCAAGGTCATCAGATGAGCTTGAGGAAGGGGAAGGGGATTTTGGATTTTGGAGGTTTTAGGAGGGAAATGTGTGAAATCGTTGTCTGGGGTGTGGGATAGTGAATTGACTAGAGAAATATGGTAGCATTGCCAAGCAGCAGCAAGGTTTATGGTCGTGAGACCAGCCAGCATGGTGTGTGTTGAGTGCAGGTAGGGAATCGTTAGAGAATTGGAGTTTCCTGGGGTTGGACTTTTGCCAGATGAGAGCAATACAGAATGACATACTGGCCGTATCCCCAGTGTCCAGAACAGGGGTGAACAAGGCAGAAAAAGTCTCCGCACTTATGAAGCTTAGATTCTAGTGATGGAGAAAGACAAAACGGTGGGGAGGGTACAAATAAGTTATCAGGTAGTATTGGTGGTAACAAGATAGTAAAAGAAGGTAATGAGATGTAAAAGAGGGTAATGAGATTAAGAATAGGGCTGGGAAGCAGCTCTGAATAGGGTGGATTGAAGAGCATGTCATCAAGAAGATGACATTTGAAAAAAAAAAAAAAAGATGACATTTGAGCTCAGATCTGAATGATGAGCCCACTGTGTGAAGTCAGGAAGAAGACTGTTCAAGACAGAGAGACCACAGGGCAAAGGCACCGAGGCAAGGTTAGCAAAGGAGTAATAGATTCTTGAGACTGGTGAGGGTACACTGGCGGGGACTTGGTCATTGATTGGATAGAGGGCTGACGAAGAAAGAAATATTGATATTGACTCCAGGGACTTCTGCCTTGGATAACTAGGTGGATGTTGCTGCCAGCACTGAGATAGAGAACAAGTCTATCGCCACTGACCTGAGATAGTCAGGAGAAAACAGCTGGTTTGAGGAAGGGAAGATAAGGATTTCACTTTAAGGATTTGTTGAATCTGTACCTAGAACAGTGCCTGGCACATACATGAACTCAATAAATAGTACTGCTGAATGTTTGAAGGAGGTGCCCGTAGAATGATTCTAAAGTCCGGGAGCCATGATTGTTATAAACCTGAAGCACAGAGAAGACATTTCCCAGATGGGCAAACTTAGTCAACATTGTTTTCTAGGAAGTCCGTGCTAACTGCCAGAATAAAATCTAACCCCAATTCCTTTATAATTCGTTACTTAGGCTATAATCATGGTTTCATATTAATTTGTCGTAGTCCTCTACGGAGAAGGTAAATCCTCTGGCAATAGCAACTCGGTAAGATTAATGGTAACCAGATCACGCTAGTGATGGGTCTTAGCATCTGCCCACCCTATGAAAACAAGCGTGATCATGCACAGGTTAGCAAACAAATTGTTTGTTGGCCATTACGTCCCTGTTGGGTAACAGTAGGATACCGGCTGGCAGCATCCAGTAAATCAGTTATAGAGCCTGAATAAAAGCTGTGACCATGGATGAAAATTTGTACAAACCTCTTCTAAGGTACATGGACTTAGACCTTTGGGCTCAGGTTAGGCCTAGGTCAGGGCCCTCAAATGGAGAGATCATTCTACGGGGATTACAAAAGAGTTGTCTTTCTCTCAAGAAAGGAGAAAATTTCATTTTGACTCTTGATATCGTTATACATCTTTTACATCAAATAACATAATTTAAAGCCTAGAAATTCAGAGGAAATGTACTATAGAGAGTTAACATTTGCGTATATCAACAAAGTGAATCTGGTTTACAGGACTCTTGCTGAGTCAGTTTAGAAAGTTGCCACTACTCTTTAATATCAAAGGTGAGGGCATAATACTGGAATAATATCACATAAATCTCTGAGGACAAAATAGAAAGATTGTAAACTGGCCACAAGTCAAAATTTGCCCGCAGGTCTTTTGGATTACAGCGCTGTGTGTTCTCCTTTTTATTTGAATAACTTTTTATTGTCATGTCTTGCCTGGAATTAACCACATGCAGTTTCACACTCTTTTCTTTCATCTAAAAGTGTATTGTTGTGTAATCCACACAGCTAATCACAGAAGGCTTTTGAGTTTGCCAACTCTGGAATTGAACTTTTGTGACGTATTTCCGCAGAAGGAAAAGGACAT